GACAGACCAAAAGGCTGATTGAAGTTCTGAAAAATCGTCCAGCTGTCAGTCGCTACAACAGATTCAAGAAAGTTCAACCGTTGATCAACTTGTATGTAGATGATACCACGTTATATTCATCTTTAAAAAAAATTCAATTTCCCTCTTGATTATTTTATCAGCTGAAATATTTAGCCAAGTTTTATGAATCATTATCCAAAAGTCTCCTTTCTGGTAGAAATCAGTAAAGGTGTTTTGAACCATGAAGTGAAAATAAAAACATTATAGCCAAAGATTTGTATTTTGTTTAATACAGCTCATTTTGAGAATTGTTTTTCATCTATTTTGCTGTTAAACCTAAACATTATCTAAAAAAAAAAAAAAAAAGATTATAAACTAATTTTCAGAAAAGTCTGCATCAATCTCTTAAGCCTGCTGGTCAAAATGATAGCGTTCTTAAACTGCAGTTGTGGACCGCAGAAAATCACTGAAAGGGCCGCAAATGGCCCTCGGGCCACACTTTGGACACCCGTGTCCTAAAGAGGTGGATTTAGCTGCAGTTTATAGATTAAGCATCTTCACCAAAGTAGACTTGCCAAAGGAAATAATCTGCACAGTATCAACCAGTAAACAGGTTTTGATATTGTAGAGGGATTTTAATAAAGCCTAACAACTTTGTTTGTAATTTCTTGGATTATGGGGGTTCTTCCACACAGAGGGGTCAACAGGAGCTCAGGTTGCCTCTAGACACAACCCAATCCCAACACGGCTTGAACATTGCAGTGAACTTGTGACTCACTGTAACCACAAGCTAATACTTGTATGTGATACATAATATAAATTGGGTGTATTGGCCATTTCGAAAAAAAAAAAACTCCAAAAGGCAAAGATTTTTAGACATAAAGTCAATGATTATTACCTGAAAGTTTCAATAAATTCTGTCCAGTGGTTCATGAGATATTTTGCTAACAGACAAGCAGGATCGACTCCATAATTAATGCCAAAGTTATAAGCAAATTTTTCATGCAATGAGTTGTGCTCAAAATATATGATGAATACCATGCTCAGCTACCACTACACACATTTTCCATTCAATATTTGTATAGTTGACTGCATTACAGCCATTTTTGTGTTTTATGATGTTTGTTGGCTTTTGCAGCCAAGTCGAATCCAATTGATTCCAAATGAAAAAATATTTTAGAGGTACGTCTAGTGATTAATTCCTGAAAGTTTCATTAAAACCTCTTGAGCGGTTCATGAGATATTTTGCTAACAGACAGAGTTGAAGATCTTGTGCGGTCTGTTAGCCCTCAGAATGTGATGATGATCAGGCTCAGGTACTACCGCACCACATTTTAGGTCGATACAAGCTGCAGATTTAAATCCAGTGTTTATTTTCTGTCTGTTGAACAGAACGGCTCGGGTTAACGACCATCCGAACCGTTTTCTCCAGAACACCGGTGTGCAGCAGGATGTGTGACTCATGCAGTGTCGCTGCAGCAGACCTCAGAAAGCAGGACGTCCTCGAGGCAAACACTGATGAATGCACTATTCTAGGAATGAAGATGAAAACGGAGCTGGAAAATGTGCTTCTGCTGCCCTGATTCAAACTTTTCCACAACTTGTTTAGCCCCCACCCACCCCCCAACCACCCCCTCTCCCCCTTTTCTCTGTGGGCGATTCTGAAAAAGTGATGACAGCAAAGGAGAACGGATGACTGAGCAGCAGGTCTACATGAGTCGAGACAGGGAGAGGGTGGAGGGGGGTAAAGAGACAAACGGTTCACAGTGGGAACATTTGGGACTGCTGCGGTTGGTGTCCCCGGAGGAAAACGTCCCAAAAATGAGCTGCTTTTATTTTGTCGTCTGCCAAACCCATCAGTGACTCACTGATTTATCTGCTCTGGGTCAGGTAAAGAGTCTGAGACAGGTGGATTCAGTTCAGACTTGAACACTCCTTGAATCGCCCGCTGCCCTTCGAGCCGGAGTTTCACACTAAAATCATTTTGGGTTAAGAAATGACTGAAAAGGAGCAGCTTGGCTTTCAGCGTGTGTGTTGGGAAGACTCTCAGCTACCACCATGCCAAATATTAGCCCAGTATCCGTGAAACTGATCCATTTTTTTGTGTTTTATAAAATCACTCTTCTGAGGCAGCCATCTTGAAACGGGTTGACTCCGGAAAATAATCATATGTACACTGTAAAATAAAATCTGTAATTTTTACAAAATAAAACTGGCAGCTGGGTTGCCAGAGAAATTCTGTTAAAAAAACAAAAAAAAAATACTGTGATTTGTACATAGTTTTACAGAGTAAGCCGTAAACTTAACAGTTTTACTAAGTAAAATTTACTAATTATTTTGTAAACATAAACACGTTTTCACTGTACAGTAGTCCTTCGCTACTTTGTGGTTCGACTTTCGCGGTTTTCCACAGTAAGATTGGGCATGACACACAATTGGCTGATTGATGGATGAGCCGCATGATTGGCATGGAATTTTTATTTAAAATGAATTATTTTAAACTATTTAGCACCTGCTGCACCCGTGCGCAGCATGTCATGATCTCCGCTCTTGGCCACGCCCACTTCTCCGCTGCAATAGGTGGCAGAGAGTGAAGATCATGACAAGCTAAGCTCTTTTAGAGCGTTTAGAGTCTAGAAACATTGTTTAGAATATTGCAAAAGTGTGAGAAGGGTTTAAAATGCCTTATATATATATACATATATATATATATATATATATATATATATATATATACTAAAATAAATTACTACTTACTACTACTGTATTATACCTACTTCACAGTTTTTCACTTATCGTGGGGGGGCTGGGAACAGAATCCCCGTGATAAACGAGAGACTACTGTACTTGTTACAAATATTTTACATAAAACTAAAAAACTAATACATTTTACAGAATAATTTATGAAGAAGTACATTTAAAACATGTAAATTTAAATGTTTTATCATCTACAAATGCCATTATTTTTACAGTAATGTGAACAATTTTTATGCTAATTCATCAGATACAATTGTTACCTTTACTTGTTTTTAATGTACTTATGATTTACAGTAATACATTGTACTTACAGTGATATACTGTTTGGGATTTTACCGTTTTTTACTGTTGCCATTTGACAGTTTTATGTAATTTTTTACAGACATTTTTTACAGTGTAGATTTCCAGAAAATCGATTAATTCTGGAAGTTTTGTTAAAATTAATTCAGTTGTTTGTGAGATATTTTGCTAACAGACAGAAAAAACACAACCGGATCCTTGTTACGCCGTCTCCCAGATAAGGAGCTCCTCGTTGCGTGCTTTGTTAATCTCCCTCTGAATTTTTCAAACCTATTCAGACAGACTGTTTGGACTCGTCTCCTCCTCTTCCCTTCATTTATCTTAATTCTAATTTGTAGCTTTGCTCCGGCCACACGTGATATCCAGACTTTTGGACAATAAGTGAGACCACCCAGAAGTGTTTTTACCCCAAAACAAAAAAAAAAAGGCCCAAAATTGAGCAAAAACATTAAAAGCTCATCGGATGGCAGCGACGCACAGTAGTCATGCAGTGTTTTTTTTTATTTCCAAAGCAGATGGAGAGTCTTGGCCCGTCCAACATTAATTACAATCACATTCGAGGAGGAAGCCGTCCCTCCTCCAGGGGCGGTTAGGACTCAGTGTACAGGCTGGAGGAGATGGCAACCTAATCCCCCCGGGGTCACCGCAGAAATTTGAGGGAACTGTCAAAAGATGCACAGGACGTGATTAATCAAAGCGAGGAGCCAGATGTGCAACGACACAGGAGGATAAAAACCTGGAAGAACCACAGACACACAAACACCACGCTGCTGCTGCTGCTGCTGCTGCTGCTGCTGCTGCTGCTGCTGCTGCTGCTGCTGCTGCTGCTGCTGCTGCTGCTGCTGCCACCCCGACCTCTTCATCACGGCCTGCTGCAACACCAGAGGAGGCCTGTGGCACGATAATGTTTCTGTCTGTTCCTCTTGAACAGCTGCAGTGGTTTTGATGAAACTTTCAGGAAGTAAAGCATCAGCTGCACAGGAAGTGCTTCAACGCTGTGGATTTTGCAGCTACGGTGGAGTTTAGTGTGGTAGTAGCTGAGAGTCAGTCACAATGCATCGTTTGATAATAGAAGCGTATGAAATTTTAGCCGGCTTTAAGCATTCCCTCAAGAAATGCTGCTTAAAGTGCAGCTGGGAGCCTGTTGGATGACAAAGCTTTAAAAGTTTTGACATTTTTAAGACAAGTTCATTTATTTTATGAATCTTTGAGGGGAAATTTGACTTTTTTTGTTTGTTTGTTTTTGTCTAAAGTAGCTAAAATCACCCTTCTGCTGACAATACCCTCTGCTTCCAAGAAAGGAGGCCACTCCGGCCTCGGAGCTCGTGACGACCTCTGTTTATCTTCACGCGCTCTGTTTAGACTCTCCCAGTAAACACTGGAGCTGCTAATGGAAGGAAGGCCTTTGAGCTTTTATGTTCCGAGCTCGTTCTGATTAAAGTGTCCCTGTTTATTATCGCTGGAGCTAATTAAAGGCTAATCTGTCGGGGAGACGCAAACAATGCGACGCAGTTTGCGCGCAGAGAAGCCGCAGCTCCGCTCCGCGCGCGCTGGCGGGTCAGGAGCAGAAATAACCCCTTTATATACAAATACCAGTGGTGGCGGTTGATGGTTCGCTGGAAAGGGGGGTGGTGGTGGTGGGGGGACTGGGTTTATCCTCCCGCTCCAAATGCGCATCGCGGAGCAGATTGCGCAGCAGGACTTGACCGCAGAGTGGAGCGCAGGACGCGCAGTAAATCACCCGCAAACAATCGAACCGCACCGGAAGTGAGGGAGTTGTTTGACCCCTCTCTGTGGTTCACACGGTGGGAGAGTTCATCATAAAACACTAGACGAGGCGTCCCTGGTGGTGATGGAGGGCGCGGCTCAGGTGGATCCAGCTGCGCGCGATTTGTTGGAGTCAACAGCTTATCAAGATTTAAAGAAGTTTCCAGCTCACTCACCTAAATTAACGAAGCTCATCACCATGTCCGCGTCATTCAAGAAGGCGGTTTCCTGAAACGTCGCCAGAGGGGAGCTCTGGGTCGTGCGCGCGGACCTCAGCCTGTCCGCCTTCTCCTCCCCGGACATGGTGTTGTACAGGTCCAGCATGAAGAGCGGAGCGGAGTTGAACTTCCCGTGGGACAGGTGCGGCCGCGGCCTGTGCGGCAGCCCCAGGATGGACAGGATCTCCTTCTGCATCTCGCGCTTCTCGTGCGTCCGCAGCCGCCGGTGCACGAACCCGGCGTGCGCTTCAGGTGCTCCGTTCGGCGTAAGGTGGCTCCCAGCCGCCGTGAACGCGCAGCAGTACGCGCTCCACCACACTCCGACCAGAGCAAGCAGGCAGCGGGTCATGGTGGTGCCGTCCCGAGCCCCGACGGAACCTTGAGTTTCAGTCCGGGCGCAAAGTGTGCGCGTAAAGGTCACCAAACGAGCTTTCTGTCACGACCTACTGATCAGGCGCAGGCGCAGAGGCGCGTTTCAAGCCATCTGGAACCAAATAAAAGCATCGCTCCTGCTCTCGTGTCCGGCTCCTGTAGCGCGCGCTGCTGCCTCAGGATGAAGCGCAACATTTAATCATGTGAGCGCTCCGGTTCGGTCAGAAACCACCAGAACCGACTTTCACCACCAGAATAACTCCTCTCACTGAAGTCATTCTGTCCCAACTGTTTAAAGTGGCGTCCTGCTGCGCGTGGACTAAAAATAAAAATTAAAAGTCTTCCAGCAGTCTGCGCGGCGCTCAGGAACTCCTACAGGTTGTGCGTGAGGATCAGCAGGTTGCAGTCCATAATGTGCCTCGGTGCGCGCGTGAACTCCTGTGTGTGCGCTGAGAAACCGCCCACTCCGTCATCCAGAGGTGGAGCTCTTTAACTTCAGATTTGGATGTTTTGGCTGCAGAGGACCAGTCAAAACACGGAAAAAAATCCAGTTTTAGAAAAAAAATAAACCCGTTTGGTTCCGTTTCTGCTGCGCGTCTTTGATTGAAACGGCTAATCCTAATCTAATCCATCACGCTGCGTTTTCGGAGTTCAAGGTGCTTCCCTTGAGCTTCCAGCAGCTGAGGCACGACCCCTGATGATGGAAGAAGAAACAGCAGGAAAAGGTTCGAGCTCCAGATGTGACACAAACAGAACCTTCAATCCCTGAACGTGAACAAACCTCACATTAATCCAGCTCTGAATAAAGAAAAGCCTTTCTATGAGGCTCCATTAATAATCTGGGCTCGTTGTAACATAAAGCAGCCTTAGTTTCTCAAGTGGGGGAGCGGTGGCGCAGAGGGTGGGCCTGTGATTGAAAGGTCGCTGATTCAACTCCCCAAGCGACAACATCAAAATGTGGGTGGAAAAGGTGAAGCCACTCGTGCCTCCACCCTCATTTGCCCCACTCTGTGCCCTTGAGCAAGGCTCTTAACCCCCACCAGCTGCTCCTCCAGGCGCTCTGCTCCACACAGAGGGCTGTGGTAGCTCGGTGGTCTGTGGTTGTGGTGACCCCGTGACCCCTGAAGAAGGAGCAGCCGAAAGACGAAAAAAAAACAATTTTCTCAAATCCACGTTTCACAACACGAATAATAATAATAAAAAAAAAACATTTGTTTTTTTTCAATCTTTTAATAATTCAACTGGACAAAAGCTTTTAATTGACTTATGGAACTGGAAAGTGGAGTTAGTAAAATATCTCATGAAACACGGGACAAATGGAAGTAAATTAAACAACCTGACTGACTATGGTGAATCAGGGTGACGTCCATCATTCATCAGCTGTAGAAGTACATCTAACTATTAATTCCTGAAAGTATCCGTAAAATACATCCAGTGGTTCGTGAGATATTTTGCTAACAGACATATACATGGTTAAAACAATAATCCAGAGGACATACAAAGGGAGAGGAATTTAAATGGCCTTTAAAAATGGGTACAATTGTTTGTCACAGTGTGTGTGTGTGTGTGTGTGCAAACATTAAACAGGAGTTTTGTCCTGTCATCACACTGTCTAGACAAGACACCTCCTGAAGCTAAAGAGGTCTTTTTGTGTCTGTATCTTTATAACACACACACACACACACACACACACACACACACACACACACACACACACACACACACACACAGAGACTTTTTACTTTACTTAACGTTAGCGTGTAAAGTTGGTGTTTTCGGTGCACGTCTCTCTGCTAAATTAAAAGGAAGTTTCCTCCGGAGTCTCAGGAATGCAAACACCTGGGGAGCGTCCGACAACAAGCGCTGTGGTTTTGTTTTGCTGCTTTCAGTCACACGCGCTCGCACAAATATGCGGGCAGACGGTTATCGGGCCGTTTCCACGCCGAGCCAAAGCGGCGGCGGCGACGACGACGAGCTCCTGCAGGTCCGATGGTCTTGAAGATGAACTCCGAGGTGGGAGGACATCCTCACAAACATCTACAGCTCAGCTGGCTTTACAGACACGGAGCTAAAAGTGAGCGTGGTAGCAGCTGAGCGTCAACATTAACACTGCGAGGTCTTAATGTAAACAGATGAGAAAACGCTGAACATCAAGGTTTTATTTGATTTTACTACAGAAAGTACCGAGCATCTTAAACGGCGCCATACGACAGCCGCGCACGGCTCATGGAATATTTTATAAATGGGTTTCATGTCCCTGGATCTGAGAAGTTATTGGAGTGAAAGGCACTGATAAAACAGCAGGGTGTATTAGATTATTAATTAGACTAATTAATGAATAATTAATTAATGATTAAATATAGTTAAGATTGGAAAAATTAGACTCTGATTAATCAGAATGAATGTATATTAAAATTCAAACATACTTTATTAATCCCAAAGGGAAATTAAATGTAACTCATCATTAAAGAGTTGTTCCGTGGCTGTGGGCAGGATCTTTTGGAGCAGTCCGTCTTAGAGCAGATCTGAGGAAACTAGTTGCACACGTTGACCTGTCTGCTTGGACTTGGCGTGTTTCTGTGTCTTCTTGGGCAACAGGTCCGCCTGAATGTTGAGCAGAACTCCTCTCTGAGCGACGTCTCTCCTCCCAGCAGCTTGTTGAGCTCCTCGTCGTTGCGGACAGCCGGCAGCAGGTGTCAGGGGATGACCCTGGTCTTCTTGTTCTCACGAGCCGTGTTTCCCACCAGCTCCAGGATCTCGATAGTCAGGTATTCAAGCACCTCGGCCAGGTAGACGGGGATGCATCCACGGCACCTCCTTTTTTTAAATTTTTTTTTTTACCCATTTGTGATTTGGGGCTGCAGCTGAGGTATTATGTGAGTTTTTGATATGTTAATCAGCGGCTCCTGATTGTAAAGACCACCTTGTTGTCATGGTTACACATCATAACAGATGTCCAAACGCAAAAAGGTTTCAGTAAAAATCTTTCAAGCTGCACAGCATCTGATACCAGAGGGAGGCATCGTCCAAAAAAAAGTGATTTACACCCAGAAAAAATGAGAAATTAAAGTTTTCAAAGGCAACATCCCAGAATGAAAGGAACAGAGCTGCTCCAACGTGCAGCCACCTTTAGCGGCGCAATTCTAGAACCTATTTTATTATTTATAACCTAACATTTATCCATTAAAGTCACAAATGATAAAAGTAAAAGTCATGATTTAATAAAATCAGCATCAGAGCGGTGAGGCGGTTTGTTTTGTCATTGTATTTAGGATTTTTAGCAAAATTTCTGAACTTGAGCTGGTAATATTTGGGGTCACAAGCCTCTTAGATCACCTGAAGATCCTTCAGCTCCTTTCAGGAGAACTTTCCTCCTCTTCCGGCCCCAGCGGTGAACTGGGTCGCCCCGCGGAACGCTTCGGTCTGGATGACGGGAGCACCGTGGTCAAACTCAAACTGCATGGCCTGGACAGAAGCAGAGGTGAATCAAATATATTATTATTATAAATATGTGTTAGCAGCTGTAAAACTGTAATCAGCAATAAGTTTAAATATCGTGGTAATCATCTGACGACAAGAGCTACAGACTTGGAACTGTTTTGTGTTTGTTTCATCTGAATTGTTATGAATTTGAACAAGATATAGGCAAATAATGTTGATCATGGAAGAAGTGATGTCCTCAAAGCAAAGAAACTGCATTTCCTGCGAAAGTGCAGTGTGAATGCTTATTGGTGAAGAACTTGCTGAAAAACAGCTGAAATTAGCAACAAAAAAAATAAATTCTGAAAGCTGAAATGGAAGAACAGGCCTACATGAGCAGAAGAAAGCTGAAAGAACAAATAATTGCTGAATTAGGTTTAAATAAGCAGAAATGAGCACAAAAATTAGCAAATTATCTAAAAAAAATATTAAATTAGCAAAAAATAGCTGAAAAGGCAGAAAGAAACTTAAACTAACAGAAGGAAGTGGAAAGAGCTGAAAAGAGCTAAAAAAATGTAAAATTAGCTGAAAAAGCTAAAATTAGCATAAAAAGAGCTAAATAGTAACTGAAATAGCTTAAAGTAGCAGTAAAAGGCTGAAAGGAGCATAACAAGCTGAAATTAGTATAAAGACGCTAATTAGGCTGAAAGCGGCAGAAATTACAATAAAAAACTTGAATTTATCTAAAAAAGCAGAAATTAGCTAAAAAATGCTAAAAAGCTACCTGAAAAGGTAGAACAAGCTTAAATTAGCAGAAGAAAGAACATGTTTACCCAATTAGCTGAAATGAGCACAAAAATGGAAATTATCAGACAAAAGCTGAAATTAGCCAAAAAAAAAAAAAAAAAACTGCTGAAAAGTAGCTTAAAAAGGCAGAAAGAAGCTTATATTACCAGAAGGAAGTGGAGAGAGCACATTTTTAATGAATTAGGCTGAAAAATGTTGAAATGAGTGCAAAATATGTGGAATTAGCCCAAAAAGCTTAAATTAGCATAAAACAGCTAAATAGTAGCTGGAAGAGCAGAAAAAGTTTAAACTTGCGTAAAAATGCCAGAAGGAGCATAACAAGCTGAAAGTAGCAAAAAGAAGTTAGAAAAAAGCACAAAAGTTTAGTTAGCAGAAAGAATCTGCAGCTGAAAGAAATGGCTGAAAGTAGCTGAATTTTTTTTTTTTTTTTTTTTGCACAAGGAAGCTGAAAGAAGCTGAAGCAGAACAAAAGGTGAAAGGAGCAGTAAAAGGTTTTAAACAGATTTAAAGACTTGAAGAATGTAAAATGAGCTCAATTCAAGTCATAAAAGGCTAAATATAAAAAAATAAATAAAAAAAAAAGCTAAAGTTGCACCAATACCAAAAGTCATAGCAGAAAAGAGCGGAACGTTTTATTTTACGATTTGTTGAAATAGCACAAACATTGTGGAATGAGAAAGATGCTTAAAATGCTCTTATTTCTTATTTAAAAAATTGTTCTTATTCAATTGAAGCAAATTTTATTTTTTGTGTACATTTACATTTTCACAGCGGTCTGAGCTGAATCAGTTCTATAAAATATGACAGAAGTCACTGCTCACCAACTAGGAGCTGATTTCGAAAATGCCAGCGTACCTGCGTGAACGTCGTAGCATCGTAGCAGCTGTGGACGGCCGAGGAGCGGTCCGAGCGCAGACACTGCTGAGGGAAGGAGCTGATCTGCTCCGCCAGCTGCAGAGCTTCCTGTAAGGCTGCCATCACAACACAACGGTGAGAAATTACTCATTCATTTGGTGCTTTCTGCGTCTTAACGCTGCTGCCGAGTGTCCGACATGAAACACGTGGAAAACATCCGGAACGGCTCACTTTGATGACCGTGCACAGAAGCTGCGCGCCCTCTGACGTTTAGCACGGTAAGTGATCGCCCTGCTCAGAGGCAATTAGTCTGTGGGTAAACAACGAGCTGAAGCACTTCCTAAAAGGATTTAGCTCATCGTCTTGTGGCATCCAGCGAGGGAGAGGGGATTAGAGAAGTTACATCCTGAAGGCCACAAGTGAACCCTGAACCGCACCAATCGAGCAAATCTTGAGATAAATCGATGAAAACGTGCGTTTTACTAAAGAATCTTGGGGAAAATTGAAACAAGACATATGCTGCCTTCAAAAGTCAGATTGAAAAGTCCTCTGAATGTTTTTTTATTTTATTTTAATGTATTATCTGGTTCGACTGTAAAGCACTTTGGTTGAGCTCACGTGCTTTTAAACGTGCTACGCAAATAGCACTAACATTAACGTTGGTATCGGTGCCGTCAAAGGCTTTTATTTTTCTTATTTCCCAGAGGAACGCCGTTTGTTCTGCATTACTGATCGCTGAGATTCGTTCTCTGAAATCTGATTTTTAAACAGCAGCATATTCAAATGACATTAAAGATTCAGCTTCCTGTGCCGAACGCCTGAATGTTTTCCACTTTGCCAGCTTGCTCTTGCGAGTCAAACCGCATTCAATAAAATAAGAACCACTACATCATATATCGTAAATACCTTGTCCATCGGGAACAACTCTATTGGCCAGTCCGTAGGCCAGAGCCTCCTGTGCTCCGACCGGTCGGCCAGTCAGAATCAGGTCCAGCGCTCTGGACAGACCAATGAGGCGTGGCAGACGCACTGTTCCTCCGTCAATCAGGGGAACTCCTAGAAAATCAGATTTCCACTTAAACTAAAGCATCAGTCACTAATTAAGCTGAATTTCTTTGGACATTGTTGAAAAGTAATTAACCATTTTGGGGGCAACATTTAGGGTCTTGAACCACTCTTAGCTTTTGATAAGCCTGTCATGTCTCAGTTGTGGACCTACTGGACTCTTTCCCACGGGCTGGACTCGGCTCTACTTAAGTCGTAGCTTCAAGGATTCATTGTTCTTTGTTTGTCGTTCCACCACATGTGTACACAGGGTCCCAGTTACATCCAGCAAAAGTATTAAAATTCAAAAGGAAAAGAGCAATAAGATCTAAGGTATGAAGGTTTGCTCCTTGGATAGAAAATAACGCTGCACAGGTTTTGGGTCGCGGTGCTGCAACGACCTTGCACACATTGAGGCGGCACACAAGTGATACCCAAACCCAAAGAGACTCGAGAAGAGTCGTGCTGAGACTAGAAAATGGAAAAACTTTTTTAAAAAACACTTTACACTCTTTAAAAAATTCACAAAATAATTATTCTATAAGATTTTTTTTTATAAATAAATGTAGAGATTTTTCTCTCATTAATATGCTGAAAAAAGATTATTTGACCTTTTTTTTTTTTTTAAATTCCAGTCTGGACTTTTGTGAAGAGCCTCCAGACCACGTGTCTCCCAGTCTTCAAATGCTTTCTTAATATTTTATTTTATTATTATTATTCACTACGGTGGCGCACTTGGTAGATCTGCTGCCTCTCAGCGAGCAGGTCCCTGGTTCAAATCCTGGTCCGGGGGCCTTTCTGGGTGGAGTTTGCATGTTCTCTCCATGCATGTGTGGGTTTTCTCCGGGTACTCCGGTTTCCTCCCACAGACTAAAAACATGCATGTTAGGCTGATTGGTAACTCTAAATTGTCCCTTGGTGTGAGTGAGAGAGTGAATGGTTGTTTGTCTCGTTTGTCTCTATGTGTCCCTGTGATGGACAGGAGACATGTCCATTGTGTACTCCGTCTCTCGCACAGTGATGGCTGGATATGAGCACCAGTGACCCCCTGCGACCTGGAAAGGAAGAAGCGGGTAAAAAGAAAGGAAGGAAGGAAGGAAGAAGCGGGTAAAAAGAAAGGAAGGAAGGAAGGAAGAAGCGGG